TGGGAATGTCAGAGTTACCGGCTGCTGCCCAGGAGGTTTCCCTGGAAATTGGGAAGAAGGCCGACTGCCGCATACACAGGCTGTAGGCTTGGGCTGCTGAGGCTGCTCAGCACTCCCGGCTGGCCCTGAGCATCCCTGACGCTGCGGGTCCTCCTTCTCTTCCCGCACAGGCGGAGTCAGGAGCGTGTGTCTGTCCACCCCCACCGCCTCCACCCCAGCTTCGACTTCGGCCACCAACTCCAGACACCTCAGCCCAGGTATTTGGCTGAGGGCACTGACTGGTGAGTCTTTGGGGTCCCTGGGGGAGGGAGGGAGGAGGGTCTTGCCTAGTCCATGGAGCTCCTGTTTCCTTCACTTCAATGGTGCAGGAGGCTTGGTACCCAAGCCCCAGCTTTAGCCCTGTCCCCAGCCACCCTCAGGTCCAGATGTCCCCCCAAGGGCCTAGGGCCTGGTTCCAGCAATGAGCTCAGTTGTGGCTGGGTGCCATTGTGAGCCCAGCCTAGGGCTCAGTGCTCATGGTCCTGCAAGGAAGGAGGGGACTGGATGCAAAACATTAACCAAGCTCAGTGAGTGCTGTGAACAATGGCCCCTGGGAGGAGGGTGGAAGGGAGAGTCTCAGGAGTGAAGGTGATCAGGGAAGGCTTCCTGGAGGGGGTGGCCCTTGAGTCCAGAAAGAAGTGCCAGAGCATGCCAGCAAGTCAAAGCCAGCTCATGGAGACCGATACTCATGGAGAGAGGTTGAGGGCTTTGTCGTGGTGTCTTTAAAGGCAGTGGGCCCTGTGAAGTCTCCCCTCAACCTCCTGAGCTCAGGACAGAGTTCTTTGTTGCCCTGGGAGGCAGAATTGCTTTGTTCTGGATCCGGGGTCCCACCCAACTCACTGGTTCTAGGGGACGGCTGACTTAGGGTCACATCCAAACACCCAAACACTTGAAAAAGATGTGTAGTCCACTGAAGTATTTAGAGGTAAAGGGCATCATGCCTGAACTTAATTTTAGAAATTTTAGAAAAAAAATTCATGGAGAACTGTGTGTGTGGATGGATGGATGGGTGGATGGATGGATGGATGGATGGATGGAGAGAGGAGGAAATAGAAATGCAGGAAAGCAGTAAAAATTGAACACTTGGGGAATCCGAGTGAAGGGTGTTCAGGAATTCTTCGTGCTATTCTTGCAACTTTGAGATAAAAAATGTTGTTTGTTTGTTTTTTAAGAATGTAAAAACAAACAAAAAACCTCAATGGAAAGGGATGGACTATTTAAAAAACAGACCAACAGACCGTAGTAGTGTCATTGCTCAGCCACTTAGTCAGGCAAACTGACGTGGGCAAGGGTTGCTTTAGAAGCAGCCTGGGGCTGGGCACCCAGGAACAGCTCAGAAGGGAAGGTCTGGATGAGTGGGTGCCAAAGGTGCTCGACGTGCAGGAAATGGTTGTTTTAATGGGGCCTGTCATCTCCAGCCTTCTCCCATGCTTGGGTTTTCTCTGTTGCAGTCAACGCTCCCTGAAAAGATGGATTGCACCTCGGCTAGCTTCAGCCCAGCCTTTTTCTAATTAGCAGATTCAAATTAGGAAGATTTAATTGTAGTTTGGATGAAATTCTGTCCCTTAGCAAGTCAATCCAATTTGGGCAAGTCAATCCAATTTAATTCACTTCAGTGCACAGAGCACCCAGGGTCCTTCCGTGTGGCTGGGTGATCGGAACAAACACATGGGGTCCAACATGGCACGTGGGATGGGGCAGGTGACATGGGTGAGGGTGGCCCTGCAGAGACATCAGGAGCAGCGGTGCAGGTTAGCCCCGCCAGCTTGCTGTCTTTGGCCAAATCTCCTGTCCTTCTCACTCATCTCAGTCGCTCTGCATTCCTGACCCCTGCTTGCCCCGAGAAACATGAGACTGGGACCCTGAGAGGCTGGCCTGTGCCCCAGCAGGGGATGCTGGAAGACCCCTGTGCAGAATCCTCCATGCCCGGGTCCATCTGGGCCCATTCTGCCTGTCTTGTCCCCACTTCCCAAGTAGGAAGCCCTTTTCAGAGGAGGAGCCAACAATTTCTGCTCCTGTGTAACTAGGTCTTCTCCAGCAAGGGCCAGCCTGCGGGTGACGAGGGGCTCTTTGTAACTGTGCTCGTGCTAACTGCATCCCACCCCTCTTTTCCAGGAGAGCAGCTTCTGCCAGGAGCTGTGCTGCCTGGAAATTAGATGACAGGACATGGTTATGGGGAGACCACTCTCACCCTCTGCAAGGAGCCCTGGAGAGAGGAGGGGATCGTGTCTACACACCTCCCCTCCCCGCTTTCATCAGAAACCACTGAATTCTGCCCTAGTTGGTCCAGGAATTGGCACACCCCAGTTGCCCTTGTCCAGCCCCAGGCCTGAGGCTGCCTGGCCTCTCCCCTCTACTTTAGGAGATTTTGGTCCTCCCCAACAGCTGCTCTCAGCTGAGCATCTGGCCCAGGAGTGCGTGGGAGCAGCAGGCCTTAGGGGACAAGCCTCCCCCAAATCCTATCTGGCCCAGGCCTGACGACTTGACCCTGACCTTGGACCACTGCTCCAATGCCTCCGCCTTTATCCTGCTCCTCTGATTCGGTCCTGGGTTCAACTCTGCCCTCCGTGCAGACAGCACCCCACTCCACCACCTGCCCTGTCTGGACCCCAGGACCCATGGGAAAGGGGAGGTGGAGGTGACAGCCTTTTACTGTCCTTTCCCTGCAGGAAGCTCGGCCTCAGCAAAGCTCCCCGATCAGGAATCCTGGGTTTGGGAAGGAATTTTTGATGATATGATGAAAGGGGATCCCAGACCCTCCCCAGACTCAACCCAGGCAGATCACCCCTCTCCTCCTCTCTTCATCAGTCAGCATCCTTGGAACAGGAGCAACTCCGTTCCCAGCTTCTTGGGACTTTGCTTTTGGTAGAATCCCCTGAACATCTCTTTTCGGCTTTGAATCTGCTGGATTCCCTGGGACTGCTGGGCAGGTGCTAAGAGTCAGGGCTGAGCCCAGGCAAGGGTCAGAAACCCTCGGGGCCCTAGATGGCTCGCGTAGGGCCGTGGATAAGACATCACTTTTCTTCAGGCCCCCCATGGGCCTGCGAAAATGAGGGGCTAGACTTAGAAACGAGGCTTTCTACGTTTGCTTCCAACTGGCTGCAAGAGTTACATCACTTCCCAAGTGACAGACTCATCAGGAGGTGCTCCAGGGATCTGGGCAAATGCATAGAGGAAATATAGGAATATATATGTATGTCATAATACAGACGTCACAGCTGGAAGCAGAAATTCGTTTAATGCCCCTCATATATATATATTTCTAAATGTATTTGATGAAAAAATCAGCCTTTTCCCCCTGTAGTTTCCCCTCATCTGAATTCTACTGGTTATGCCCTGGAGGGGTCACGTCAGATGCCCCTCAGTTTGCTCCGCCCCCTGTACACTGGCACCAAGACCGACGCTTGAGCAGAGTCAACTTTCACTTTTTGCTGAAAAAACATCATAAGTGGTGGTGTGTTCTTCCAGCAGGAAGCTGGTTGTCTGTTCTGTGTAATGTTAGTAGCGATCAGTGATCTTCGCCCAGATCATTTATTTCAAGGGATGCAAAAAGGTGACAAATAATTCAATCACTCCTTCATCTATTAGCTCGAAAATTTTCATGAAAAGCAATTTCCCTTCATCCACGATTTAGTTACCCTGAATTTCAGTTAACAGAGGAAAGGCAGGATAAATGTTTGGTTCTTCCGCTTTGTTAGTTGAAAATGAAGCACTGGTTCCCTAGCATCCTTCCAAGGGAACCAGTTTTCTTTAGCATCATTTTGCTCTGATGGATCTGAACCTGCCTGATGTGTTTCAGCCTATTGCAGTTACGTTCATTGATGCAAAATGTCCAAACTCCACAGCTGGGAGCCTCTTCAGGGTGGTTCCCGAATACTTTGATCTGACCTTGAAAACTTCCTTACTTTGAATTATGACAAGATGTTTAAATCTCATTTTGCACATTTTTGGGGGGTCCTGAATTTAGCCATTTTCCAAGGAGCCCTGGTTCCTCTTCAGTTGCATGAATTAATTTTTAAGTGAAGTGAGTTTCCTGTACGTTCAGGATGGGGGTGGTGGTTCCAGAGAGTTTCCTGTCTCACGACTACAGGCACATCTCCTGCTGTTTTCTCAAAGTGGTAAAAATATGGCCTCTGCCCCCTTCCATGTTCCCTGGACCCTGTCTTTCCTTTGCTCTGCATCCCGGACAGCCTATGGGATTCTTCTTTCAGCGTTTCTCTCAAGGATGCGCTTGGTCCCCAGAGGGAGCTTTTGTGCATGGATCTTAGGTCGTACGAGGCTCAGACCGGTCTGGTTCCTTCAGCTCTCACGGAGCCATTCTCTCTCAGAGTCTCGGCTTCCTTCACCGTAAGGAGAGGGGAAGGGCGAGGTGAGGCTGAGTCCCTTGCAGCTCCGGCAGGTGGTGACTCTGATTCTACTTGATGGGCTTGATGTCTGAGGTTCCTCCTGTGACCTGACGGCTGAATCACACCCCCTGTGCTTCACTGTGGCCGTGTCCCTGCAGGGATCTCAGTGTGGACGCTGGCCTGAGTCCTGCTCAGTTCCAGGTGCGGCCCATCCCTCAACACTATCAGCATTACCTAGCGACTCCTCGGATGCACCACTTCCCCCGGAACTCCTCCTCCACGCAGATGGTGAGTGAGAGGCTCTGCCGGGAAAGACTCCCCCGCTGCCTGTTGGTGCCAGTGGAGGGCTAAAGCCTGTGCCCTGTCCCCTGTGTCTTGCCCTCTGTGTCCTGCCCCCACTGTGTCATGGCCCCTGTGTCCTGCCCCCCCTGTGCCCAGGCTAGCCAACTGCTCCCCTCCTCTCTCAGCTCCTATTCCCAATCTGGCTTGAAGGAGAAAGAAAGGAAGGCTTCGGGGTGGGCGAAGTAGGGGGGACCAGAAGAGGAAAAGGGGCCACGTGGCCGGCTGTGATCTGGAGGGAAAAGGCTCAGGGCAGAGAGCAAGCAGGGTAGTCCCTGGACCCCATATGACCTCATTTAGTCAATGTCTTGGGTCAGCTTTTCCCTGGGCTTTGATTTGCCTTATCTGTGAAACGGGATGGAGATGCCCAGTGTGGGGAACACAGAGACCCCTCAGGCCGGCCTGCTGACCCAGTGCTGCGACGTGCAGAGGGCGGGCCTTCAGCGCTGCAGGGTGAGGAGCCTGACAATGGATCAGGCTGGGCTTGGGGTCCTTCGCCTTCCTGGCATCTTGAGCTCAGGAATGCAGATGAAGATACTCCATGAAAGCAGCAGGAGACTGATTGAAAATCTTATTTCCGGGCAGCTTCTTCACGCTGCTGCCCTAGAGCAAAATTCCGCCCTTCCAGCCCCCGGCTCTGGTTTAACCCCTCAGCACCTCAGTCTCCTCATTTGTAAAGTGAGAGGCTTGGGTGAGAAATCTTGAAAGCCTTGTCAGCTCTGAAGTTCTAAGGTTTCCCTTATAAAGCACCATCTCCTAGGAATCAAAGCTAACAGTTATTGAGCACTTACTGAATACCAGGCACTGTTCTAAGCACTTTATGTGAATTCTCTCATTTAAGCTTTGAAGAAGCCCCACATGAAAGGTCTTATCCCTATTTTGCAGATTGGCAAGTGGAGGCACAGAGAGGTTAAGCCCCTGGCCCAGGATCATGCAGGAGTAAGTGAGGTGCTCTGACTCCCAGCAGGAGTCAGGGTGAGGGGAGTGAGGCAGGGCCGGGCGAGGATAGAGTCAGGTCCTGTTTTTGGTTAAAACTTTGATATTTGATTCATTATGGATTTTTGGCATTAATTTGGATTTTTTTAAAAAAAATCACATTAAAATGCTACTTATCTTGGTTACTGAGTCATTTGGTGCCTCCATACATTTTGTGCCCCTCCCTTGCTCCCCAGCCTGGCCAGGCAGCGCAGAGCAGAGGGGAAGGGAGGGGACTTTGCCATCCAGCTGCCTGGGTTTGAAACCATGGTTTGGCCACTTACTTCATCTGTTCGTGTCTCACTTACCCCATCAGTAAAATGGGGATAGTAGTTGTACCCTCACTACAGATCACGTGAGATAACTGAATTAGTCACGTGAAAGGCTCAGAACAGTGCCTGCCATGAAATTAACGCCCAGCCAGGTTAGTGGTTACTTTACTGACTGGGTTATTCTTTTTGGAGCTGGTTCGGCACAGCTTGGTTCCTGATGGAAGGGAGGGGGACACAGGAGGACACACAGCGCTTCCGTCCACCGGCAGCATCTCAGGGATGTGCTGGTTTTGCCGATTGGCTGTTGAGGGAGGAGGAGTCAGAAGCTGGGCTCCTGGAGCCTTGAACCCTGTTCTCTTCCCAACAGGTCGTCCATGAAATCCGAAACTACCCTTACCCTCAGCTTCACTTCCTTGCTCTCCAGGGACTGAACCCCAGCAGGCACACCTCTGCTGTGCGAGAGAGCTACGAGGTACACCCCTCTGCCTGGGGATCCTCCTGCCAGCCTGGCTCCCGCTGGGTTGGTGGCATTACCATCGGCCCCTCTCTCTCCCCCACAGGTGGGCAGGGCATGGGTGGTGGTGGGGGGAGCCTCAGGGTTGAGACTGAGAGAGAGAAAGAGAGAGTAGAGATATGGGGGCTTTCGGCCTCAGACGGCTCTGTGAATGCTTCCTGCATCTCTCTGGGCCCCTCCTCCTTATCATGTGTGTGTGTGTCTGTGTCTGCACGTGCTGAGGGCACCCATCCACATGTTTTCTCTCTCTAGGAGCTGCTGCAGCTCGAGGACAGGTTGGGAAATGTGACCCGGGGAGCGGTGCAGAACACCATTGAGAGGTTCACCTTCCCCCACAAGTACAAGAAGGTGAGGCCAGCAGGCCAGCCTGCCAAATTGGGGTTGGGGTGGGGGTGGCTGTGATCTAGTTGATCCTGGCCTGGTTCTCCACAGAGGAGCCCAGTCCAAAATCTAGAAGCTTTTGCTCTGGTTAGATGCTCTGAAGCTGGGCTGCCTCCCCAGGGTCTTCTCCACGCCTCTGCCAGGTGTGACCAGGAGAGATGGGTGGGGGTTGGGGGGGCTCTCATCAGTAATTGAGGGGAGCTGGATGTATGTGCGCAGGTGGACTCGTGAGGGGGTCCTGGGTAGGCGTACAGGCATGTGAATGTTTGCATCTGAATGAGGAGGGCGAGGGGGGCCCTGCACTGAGGGCTAAGATCTGCCTTAGAAAAGGACTCCAAGCCCAGCCTCACACTGGACACGTGGACAATAAGGCTTCAGAGCGGAGGTTTCCAGTCCTCAGTGTCAGGCTCACGTGGGCTGCTTGTAAAGCCACAGACTCACAGGCTCTACCCTAAGCCTGTAGAGACAGACTCTCCAGGGTTACGGCTCAGGAATCTGGAGTAGGGTTATAGCCCAGGAATTGGAGTTAATTTTTTTTAATTCAAATAAATAAAAAATTTGGAAGCAACCAAGATGTCTCTTAATAAGTAAATGGATAAATAGACTGTGGTACGTCTATATAATGGAATATTATTCTATGATTTTAAAAAAGGCTATTAAGCCATGAAAAGACATGATGCAGAAAATATGTATTAAGTGCATATTACTCAGTGAAAGAAGCTGGCTTGAAAAGGCTGCGTACTGTAGAATTCCAAATATACAGCATTCTGGAAAAAGTAGAACTAAACAGTGGAAAGATTCATGGTTGCCAGGGGCTTTGGGGTAGGGATAGAAAATGAATAGGTGGATCATAGGGGATTTTTAGGACAGTGAAACAATTTTTTATGCTACTGTAGTGGTGGACATGGGACATTGTACATTTCTCAAAACCCTTAGAACTGCACAGCACAAAGGATGAACCCCAGTGTAAATTAACAGACTTTATTAATAATGACGTATCACTCTTGGTTCATCAGTCACTACATTTGTTAAAAATGTACCCACGCTAATGCAAGATGTTAATAATAGGGCAAAATGTGTGTGTTCTGGGAGGGGAAGGGAGGGAACACACTGTATTTTCTGCTCAATTTTCATATGAACCAAAACTGCGCTACAAAACAAAATCTGCTATGAAACCAACAAATACTTGTTAAATTTTAAGAATTAAATTCTTAACACAGAGAAACCTGGAGCAGGAACATGCCAGCACCCATCTTCACGCCCTCATGAGTTCCCTGTCCTGGAAAAGGGCAATAAACTCTTTTCCCTTCTTGAGCCAAAAAAAAAAAAAAAAAAAGTGAGCACTAGGTGTTGGAATCGGACAGGGCCAGTTTTCAATTCCAATTTTACGGCTGTCTTTGGGCTGCTATAATCAAATACCATCTACATGGTGGCTTGAACCATGGACATTTATTTCTGACAGTTTCAGAGGCTGGGAAGTCCCAGACTGAGGCACTGGCAGATGTGATGCTCGGTGAGGGCCCTCTTCCTGGCTGGCAGACAGCTGCCTTCTGGCTGTGTCCTCCTCACGTGGCACAGAGGAAACTCTGGAGTGGTTTTCTCTTCTTACAAGGGCACTAATCCCATCATGGGGGCCCTACCTTCATGACCCCACCTCAACCTAATTATCTCCCAAAGGCCCCATCTCCATCACCTTGGGGGTGGTGGTTAGGCTTCAACATATGAATTTGGGAGGTGGGGGACACAAACATCCAATCCCTAGCCACCACCTAAAGCTACATAACTTTGGACAACTTACTTGGCTTCTCTGGCTCCTCCTCTGCCCTTTTTAATGTAAAATGGGAAAAGCTATAATACTAACCGCCACAAGGGGCGCTCTGGGGGTCCAGAGGGACAGTGCGAATACACAGCTCAGCACAGTGCCTGGTACCTGGTAGTGCTGAGGCGTGGGAAAGTGCTGTCACCTTGACGGAAGGCTCATTATTGCTTGCCCGGGTACCCATGGCGTCAGTGTCAAAGACCTGGGTCTGTGCAGCATCTCATAGAGCCACTGGATTTATCCAGAAGTGACTCCAATCAACATTTATTGAGCATCTATTATGTATCAGTCATGAATAGTATGCTAATAGAGGAAACGACAATATTTCAGTAATAAAGGGTGTCATCTGCTCAGAGAAAATGATCGTTCTCTGGAGAAAGAGCTTTAAGCTGCTGGAGAAGAACATGGAAGGGAGTGAGGAGTGTTCAGGAGCTCAGGGAGCAACTTCTGCCTTCCTGACCAGGGTGTGCTCACTCCTGCCAGAACCACACACTTGACCTATCACCATCTCCACAGGCTGAGAGGAGATAAAGAAAAGAACAAACACAAAGAATGAACAGGGGAAACGGACTAAACCAATGAGATGAAGAGTTGATCTAAGATGAATGGATAAAGATGTAGTGTGTGTGTGTGTGTGTGTGTGTGTGTGTGTGTGTGTGTGTATAATGGAATACTACTCAGCCACGTACATCTATGCAATGGAATACTACACAGCCATGAAAAAGAATGAAAATTTGCCATTTGCAGCAACAGGGATGGACTTGGAGGGCGTTATGCTAAGTGAAATAAGTCAGAAAAAGACAAATACTGTATGATATCACTTATATGTGGAATCTAAAAAATACAACAAACTAGTGAATATAACAAAAAAGAAGTAGACTCACAGATATAGAGAACAAACTAGTGCTTACCGGTGGGGGGAGCGGAGGAGGAGGGACAATACAGGGGTAGGGGATTAAAAAGTATAAACTATTAGGTATAAAATAAGCTACAAGGATATATTATCATACAACACAGGAAAAATAGTCAATATTTTATAATAACTATAAATAAAGTATAACCTTTAAAAATTGTAGGGTTTTTTTGGGGGGAAGGAGGTAATTAGGTTTATTTATGTGTTTAATTTTAGGGGAGGTACTGGGGATTGAACCCAGGACCTCGTGCATGCTAAGCACACACTCTACCACTGAGCTATACCCTCCTTCCAAAAATTGTGAATTGCTATATTGTACACCCGTAATTTATGTAATATTGTATAGCAACTATATTTCAATAAAAAATACAGTTGAGCTAAAAATATTATAAAAGTAAAAGGAGAATTAAGAGAATAAAATATTATTAAAAAAGGAATAAGAAGAATTAAAAATACAAAATGATAGCATTTAAGACCCAAATAAAATGTAAAAAAAAATTTAATATTTAAACTGAGAGTAAAATAATATAAAACAAACAGGATATCTTACAATAGTAATGACAGGATAAGAACAAATAAACATACAGTCAAATAGAAATATAAAAAGAACAAGAATTAGGATGTGAAAACAACATAGAAAATTAACATCACTAACATCAAAGTGAAAAAGGAATGTTAATGAAAAAGAGAAGGTAAGGGCAAAAGGGAGAAAATAAATATTAAATGTTCAAAATGCTGAAGAAAGTCATAGTTAAAGTAAAAATTACATAGACAATGATAAGAGAAGCCAATTCACCCAGAAGACCTAAAAGATTAAAAATACAAAAGAAGAAATAGGATAAAATTTGAAAAGAGATGATAGTTGAAAGAAATAGAGACAGAGTAAAACACAGTTAAGAATGTTAAGTTAAAATTATTAACCATCAAAGGGAAATCATGGATAATGAGGGGCGAGAGCAATAGAAAATAGTCTTACTGGTATTTTTTATGGAACTCCTTTTCTAAGGGCCAGCTGAAAAGAGGCTACTCCTCCGGCAAATGCCGCTGGGGTCTCAGGCGGGTGGATCGTCATGGCCCCATTCATACTCCACACCCATGACAATTACATGGGACTCTGGGTGTGCTTCTGACTTTCTGGATTCTGGATGAGGGGAAACTTACTGCAGTGAGGTGTATAGGGCACAGCAGAAGGCACAGGTTTCCCTGTATGTTCTAATGAGCTTACAGAATTCCCCAGACTAACTCTGACTAAGAACCTCTGGGAACGAGGACCAGGGACCAGAATAGGGAGACCTGGCATTCAGACCTGGCCCCAAGGTCATAGTCATTCTCCAGGTTGTCTTCGTCTTGTGACTCTTCAGAGTTTTCTCTTGGCAAATGACCTTTCAATCTGCTTTATCCCTGGAAAGGAGACAGAGGGGCCAGTTTTCTTCTCATGAGTATCATCAGAATGTCTCAGTGCACAGCATGGAGTTGGGAACAAGAAAGATGGGCTGATTTAATTCGCTGATTAGAAATTCCTTTGTTCCTAGAATATATATATATATATTTAAGCTCCAGTGATATATCTTGTACTTGGCCAAGTGTGAGGCTGTACCTACAGAAGGGTGAGCCATGGTCCACGCCATCTAAGGGCTCGGAACTTTCTGCAGGGTAGTTAACCATTTTCAACCAATTAGCATAGAATTTAAAACAGGACAATTAAAGTTAGCAAGTGTGAGTGCCTGCGTGATGTCTAAGCGTGTTGGAACTAGTGCCTATCTTCAAGGAATTTTCTGAACCAGAAGAGAGATCCAACAATATAAAATAATGGCGTGGTACAAATTATGGGAGGTAATACCCAGTTGAGGAATTCTGCCTTCATCTAGTAATGAATGAATAAATGAATAGGTATTAGTTGAGTGGAAGAGAGAGAGGAAGGAAGGAAGGAAGGAAGGAAAGAAAGAAGGAAGGAAGAAAGAATAGATGGATGATGGATGGATGGATAAAGCATGCTGGACCAGGAAGTGGAGGGGGAAGTCTGGAGGCAGGGATCTAGGTTGGAAAGGATGGAAGGAGGGGTGGACAGCATGAAGAGACTAGAAACAGGGAAGCTGTTTACACACAAGCCATAGGTTTGCAAAGGACTGACTCGCTAGGTACCCAATTCCTTTCCAAACTCTATGCCCCTAGGAAAATACAAAGTCTATGCCTGGAATGCAAATTATCTGAAACAACAAAAATAAGGCCCCTACCTCACTTGGCTTTAACCCTCTGTACCTGCAGCAAGGAGTGGGGCGTGGGAGGAGGCAGGGAGGAGGGCCAGGGAAGAGCACGGAAGTCGGGGTGTTACTGAAGAACTTAAAAAGGGACTGGGGAAAGGAGGCTGAAAGGGAGGCAAGAGGCTGTGGAGGAAGGACCATGGCCACCAGGTGAGCGGGCTTCAGATAATGAGCGCTGCTTCTCTGCTTCCCCTAGCGAAGACCCCAGGACGGCAAGGGCAAGAAGGAAGAGGGGGAGGAGTCAGACACAGATGAGAAGTGCACAATCTGTCTGTCTCTGCTGGAAGACGGAGAGGACGTGAGGTAGGAGCCTTGCTCGTCCAGTCCCTGTCTGGTCCTCCGTGGGGCTGGTGATCAGGCCTATGCCGTGTGGCAGGGGCCGGGGGCCTTGCTTGTTTGCTCGTGTGTGGGTGTGCTAAGTGTGCACAGTGTGCTCTGTGGTTGTTCTAGGAAGGTGGAGTGTAGAACACTCTAGATGTGTGGTGCCCATGGTGTGGACTCCCCGACACACAGTGTAAGAGAACGGAGTGACCTTTGGCCGGGATGGATCGAAGACAAAGTCCTGGCTTTGTTCCAGGCTGGTCTAGAGCAACAGGAGAAGGAGGGCCTTGGGGGTCCTCCCACCCCAGCCACAGCCCCACTCCATGTCTGAGCCCCTAAGACCCTCTTGGGCCAGTCCCCCAGGTGTCCTGGCTGTGAGTCATCTGGTCCCCTGAGTGGCCAGTGTCCCTCAGCTCCTGGCACAGCCTGGGGCCCCTTCCCTTTGACCCTCCCTTCGACCCTCCCTCCTCTCTTCCAGGCGCCTACCCTGTATGCACCTCTTCCACCAACTGTGTGTGGATCAGTGGCTCGCCATGAGCAAGAAATGCCCCATCTGCCGAGTGGACATTGAGACACAACTGGGAGCCGACAGCTGAGGGAGGAATTAGCCAGTGGACACCCCGTTTTCCTTCACCAGGTCCCCCCACGGCCATAGCCCTTGCAGCCAAACTTTGCCTTCTGAGCCATTTGAATTAGAGGAAAAGCCTCGAAGCACATTGTGTGGAAAGAGGAGTCGGTGGTATCCCTGCCGGTGGAAAGGAGGGTGGGGGAGGGCTCAGCCATCCCGGTGGTGGCCGCCCTGGCGCCCGGTCCTCATCCACCTGCGGCGCGGGAGGGAGGGAGCTGGCGGTGCCCGGAGCGGGGTGGGGGGGGCCGCGCTGCTGAGAATCTAGCCGTGACCCTGAGGTCCCAGCTGACAGACCGGCCCCTCAGTCCTGTCCTTTGAAGGGTTGTACATATACCTCTCGACCACGTAGAAACCACGTAGGGGTCTCTAGCTATTCCTGTGGATGGCAGCCAGAGCATGTTAGCTTCAGAAAAATGTCGTGTGTGGTGCTCTCGTCATCTGTGGTGGACATGTCGCTGTTACCGAATCCGCACCAAATATTTCTCATTGAGTTTCTTGTTTTGGTGCCTGACTGAACCAACCAACGACAGCCCAAATCTTCCCGTCTTTATGAGAGAAGAGAAAAAAGGAATCAAAGGTGAAAAAAAAAAAGCCAAATCCTGTTTACGGTGAAAAAGGATGATTTTTTTTTTCACCCAGGTTGGGAGGCGGGAGGGGGTTCTTGTTTTGTTTTTGCTTTTTCTTAGCTTTTGTTTTTCTCATGTTTACAGTGCACGGAGCATGGAGGGGGGCGTCTGGGAAATGGGAGGACTGGAGTAGGAGCAGATGGGGGCTTTAGATGGACCTCGGAGGGGCTCAGCCGGCCTGGGAAGGCAGTGTTTGAGTAGGTGAGGGGAGAATTATCTCGAGGGAGGGCTCCCCAGTTCCAGAGACCGTCTACTGAGCTCCAGCCATCCCTCCCTCCCCTGGTTGCACACTGAACCAGGAGGGGTCAGCCTTCAGCTAGAGTTGCCCCCAGATTCCTCAGAGCCAAGATAACCCTGCTCGCTCCAGCTTTTTCCTTTCAGCTGTGCGCATACCCTGTCACATAGAGGCAATTTGGCCACTGCCTCCCTAATGCAAAAACTTAACCAGATGCTAAAGATGAAGTTAGCATAAGTGATGGACACTAGGTCTTGGCCGAAGTGCTCTCAGCTAGCACATAGGGGCTGAGGTCAAACACGGTGGACCCGGAGAAGGAACTCGCGCCTCCTTTGGGATGTCTCAAATCCCGATGGAGTCCCTCAGAGATGGCCCCAGCACTGAGACCACCTCGTTTGGGTTTGGGAAGTCCTGTGTCCCTAGCCTCTGGCTCTTTCTCTGACTCTTTGACAACCTTGGGCAAGTCCCTTCCTTTCTGTGCCTCCGTTTCCTTCTCCTTACAGTGGGAAGAGACAGCAGTGCATCCCGTCCGCTTCCTCTACCTCACCCAGATGTTGTGAGGATTAATACTATCTGCCCAGTGCATTCTGTGCTCTCTCCTGGGAGCCTCCTTGGGGTTTAGGGATGGGGGTGGTGGGAGATGAGACCTGGAAGTTCCAAATGACACCAGACAGTGTGTCTTTCTGAACCGCCCCATGATTTTTCTGAACCTCAAATGAAGCAGAGAGATGGGAAGACAGAAGAAGGGAGATGGGAAAATCCACCAAATTCCATCCCCAACCCAACTTTCTTCATCCATATGAAGCAGTTCTGCTGGACTTCTGCTCTCTTCCTTTGCCCCTCTCGCTGCTGCCCTGAAAACCTCCCTCTCCCTCCCTCATTTGCACTGCCCTGAAAACCTCCCTCTCCCCTCTCTGCTTGCCCCGGTCTCGGTGCCCTTATATCAGTAAGAGAAGACTAAGGCAGACAGGCTACTTATCATATTAATGAAGAAATTCCACAAGGTTAAGAAAATTTGAGTCTGCATTGCTGCTACATAGGGTAAAACCAGGACCAATGGGCAAAAATGATCAGGAGGCAGATTTTGGCTTGAGGTAGAAGCTTCTAGCACATTCAGAGCTGTCAAGTGGAGGGATGGCTACTCTGGACACCTGCAGGCAGAGAGTGGGGGTCATGGCTTCTGGTAGGAGGGTTCCTCAAGGATCTTACTCAGACTGAGGCCATCTTTACTGAGTGCCTGCCAGTGCAGGTGCCGGGAGAGACAACGGCCAGGAAGACAACGTCCCTGGCCTCCCAGAGCTTACAATCTTGAGGAGCCAAGGCCATAGTGCAAAAAGGGCGACTAGTCTGATTCAAGGTCGATAGCAATGAGTGTTACATTGTCCCATTCAGTGATTTTGGTGTGTGAACAGTTTCTCCAGGGCTAACGGCTGGAGGTCCCACAAGTGGGAAAGTCAGGATTTCAGAGAGAGCTAGTTACTGGTAGCCGCAGGAAATTGGGAATTCTCCCCACTCTACTTTGATCCAGAGGTAGCCAGGTGGTCTAGGGAAGGTCACTCCCGACTTAGTCTCAGTCTTTTATTCCTCTCTCCCAGGCTGGTTTGAAAGGCTAGCAGGGTGTGGGGTGTGCGTGTGGAGAGGGGGTGCGGTGGGGAGGCTGGAGGGAAGGAGATCTGGTGTCTGGGTTCTGTCTTGGCTCTTCACTAACAAAGTGGACAGGTCTGGAACCTCTCTCCTACCCTCTGGGCCTCAGTTTCCTCAGCTGTCACAAGGAGGTTGGATTGCTGCTTACTAAATTTCCTTCCACATTGTCTGATCCTCCCTAACAGCAACGCAGCTTTCAAGAGGGGAGAGCAGGGTGCCCACTGAGCTGTTGACAACCACTTTCCCGTGGGCACCAACATCTGCATTATAGGGTCCCCTCCTCCCCTCAGTTCTCTGCAGGCCCCCTGAATGCACCGGGCTAACATTAGGCAGTAACTGAGGTGGGGGTCATCCAGAAGGGAGAGATCAGCCACTGACTTTGGGGATGGATCCTGGAGCCCCCTCATCATCTCTCTGGGGTACCCCACGTCCTACCTTGCAGGTGGGCACAAGAGGTGCCATGGACTCAGACCCCTCCGGCCCTGCCCGGCCGCAGTTGAGAGAGAGGAGAGGGCTCTGTGCTGCCCTTCCCGCGAGGCCCCCTCCCGCCACTGTCCGGGAGCCTGGGAAGAGTGGAGAGGAGGCAGGCTGGGGCCTCGGCATGTCACACCCACCGCCTCCGGGAGAGGAGACCCCCCTATCGTTCTCCTTCTGCTCAACTCAAGGGACTCAGACCCTTTCTTGACTGAGACGCATGAGTGCCTTCTGGGGCGAGAGCTGCCCCAGGATCCCAGTTGGGCCTCCCGCCGCAGGGCAGCCCTGGCCGCATCGGTCCACCCGCCGGGGACGCTGATCCACGAACCCTCATCACCCGGCGCGGCGGCGGGGGCGGGGCCCGGGCGCCTCCCCGCCGGGGCCCCTCGACAC